ATACAAATCATGATATGGTGTTTATATGCTGTTTACATGTAGGATCTATGTATAATTTCAAAAGCATTTTCCTGATGTATTGTTGTTGTATAAAAACGATTAAGCTTTTTTTTGACGTCATCCAGGAGATATTTTCTAGAATTTCCAGTGGTATTAAATGTATTCATATTCATAATTTATAATAAATATTGTATATTTTTTTCTTGCAAGATATAATTTCCGTTCAAGATGCCATCAAAAAATCTGACAAAGATGATTTGGTGAAGTCTTCCAAGAAAAAAAACAGTTCCATCCCATTTAGCTAAAGAAGATATCACTGCCATACTATTTGCCGAGCAACTTAAGGCCGGGATAAAAAAAGTCAATGCCCATTACCATATAGGTTCTACAACTATCAAAAAAATATGGGTGTCATCCAATCCTTATGAACATGCCAACTCAATAGGGCAACCCAACTTGCCTGAATGGTATAATAAGAATGTTAAATTCAAGGAGTCTGAAACATCTCCCAACGCCTCTCAAGAAATAGTCTTACCTGAGGAAACGAAGCTTCTCGTTAAAGAACCCAATATAGTTAAGCAAGATACCAGTGAAAAATGAAAAAAGAAGGAGGCTGAAATAGAGCAGATTGCAAAACGGATCATTAGATCAGAATTGGGTAGGATAATCCAAGCTGAAGACTGAATAAATTCCAGGGTTGTTCTCCATATTTCAAATAATAATGCTTTGTAGCAGAGTACAATAATATATATAACCAAAATGTTATTTGTAAATTGCGCAGTCAAAGAAAATTTCCTGTTGAAACATTAATTGATACAGGCGCTAACGCAGATTTAATTACCCAAAAATTTATTAACGAGTTGGGTTTAGTACATCATGTAAATAAAATCAATAGCCTCGAATTACAAACTCCTGATGGTTCATTTTCCATACTAGGAAAGGTTGAACTGCAAACTAGTTTTAATGTTGATGGGAAGCATAAAAGTATCGATCCCATTGAATTCTTGGTTCTTGGATCAGATTGGCCTGGGCCTGATTTAATGTTAGGAAAACCATCATCAGGAAATTAATTTAGCGTAAACTTGCATAAATCTTACGATGCTGACGTAATATTGTGTAAATCTTACAGTGCCGACGTAAGTTTTACACTTTTTTATTATTAAACTTACAATTGACACGTGTAAAATTTTTTTATATTTTCCAGATGATGGTTGCAAAAAAATGGTGCAACGATTGATATGTGTAATAGCCAACTTATCTTACATGATAATTTTGCAATTCCAATTGTGGAGAATAAATAGTGAATCCAAAACTGAACCTGAGACAGACTCTTCTGATCCAGATCGCCAATAGAGAATAAATCATGACAAATGTGTGTTTTTCTCTAATCAAATGACGTAAAATGATGTCAAGATTGCCCATATAAAAACGTTTACTGAGATCGTCCATAGAAAAAAAAATAAGCATAATTATAATATTTCTAACCTCCAATACTGAGTATTAATTATTCAAATAATAAAAAAAGTTAGTGCAGTCTCATCATCTTGACATGTGTAAAAATATCCAAATGAAAACGAGGGTGTAGATTACGCAAGTTAATTGTTATAATGGATTCTAACTTTATTCCTATTAGATCGATTAATATAATTACAACTCTGAATAATTCATCATTAATTGTTGTTTGAATAAACCTTATTACTGAATAAAAATTTCTAGCAGGTTCGAGGACTTTATAATGCTACGCATGGATATATCTTTAAGACAGTTCTATTGGTAAAAAAAACGTGATATATTTCTTAGTGAGTATTATAAATATGCCTCGAATCCATTTTTCACCACTCTTTACTTCATCGCTATAATATTCAAAAGTTTAAAAACAGACTTTAAAACATATTCAAAATAAATAAAATCTAACAAATATTATACATATTCTAATTTTTGATCAAAGGTATGATATTCCAGAATAAAACCATTTATTTACCTAATATTAAACACTGATATTTTCTTTTTGACATCGTATAATCCCACATATGTTAAATTTTTTTTTTTTCATAGATGTCTCAAATCAATATTACCTTTATTGTCCTTGATCACCATTCTCATGTGATTTTCTATTAGTTCTATCAAGAATTATTTTAATGGGGATTTAACCACCCATGATGCTAATATCTTAAATTTCATCAGGCAACAATTTACCGAAGAAAACATCTTATATGATTCTAAGCTCACTGAAGGACTTGCTAAACTGAATACTGAACTTAATGCATGTGATGCTAACTTCACTGCGGAGGCGCAGAGAATCTTGTCGCTGATTAATTCTTTTACCACGAGACTTGATGAAATTGAACAAGTTCTTGAATGCTACAATAACCACTTTGGTAGAATTTCATCCTCTTTGATTCAATTAATGAATCTATCACAACATTCCAAACCCTATTTAATCAACGTCATGCAATCATCCAAAGAATCAAACAAGATCAGCAAAGTGAAACGAACCTATCTGAAGCTTCTTCCAATTCACACAATTCCTCTATTAATTCTTCTTGTTCTAATTCCTCTGCTAGTTCTTCAGGTATGATAGTGAAGCTGGAGTTACCATTACAATTTAAAAAATCGACTAACTTTAGCTAACTTGACTTTTTTGATCATAGGATCAAGCCAGTGATCATTTTCAGGAATTACATTAACTATCTGGACTTGCTTTAAACAGATCTTTGATAGGGATATGGCTCAGAGAAGATATACTTTTGACGAAATGTGTTATTCCGTAGCCATGCGCATTCGTGAACTTGGAGGAGATATTAGGCAATCAACGATCAAAAACTTTTATAATAGAAGTAGTAGTTGTAAATCAAATACTGTGGACCAAATTGGTTCATGGATAGATAGTATGGAGTAGCGGGAAGAAACTCTCATTTTATGGGTTAGGGCTCGAGTACTTCCTCCCTTTAAACTCGCTACTCTATCATTTTATATTGTATTAGTTTAGTCAATTTCATATAAAAAATAATAAAGATACATCTTAATTTTTAAAATAATAATAAGTTCACATATCTGTATTTTTTGCTCGATTAAATGTAATTATCAGGAATCAAAGATTCGGCGCTTTGCATCATATCCATACCGATGTCAGTTTCTTTGAAAACATGTTTGACACTATTATCGTCCATATTCCCATCCTCTTTTGATATTACCGCATTTCCATAAACGAAGGAATTCCCACTTATGTGTCTGATGTATGAGATTCAAGTCTCATTTAATCCATAACCTTGATCCACTTTTTCAAGTATATAATTGTGTACTTACCTCCAATAAATTCCTCGACCATATCTTCTTCGCAAAATCCAGAAGGAAGTCCGTAAATATATTTGACTTTATTTTTCTTTAGATGCGGGTATGAAATAGTTGAATGTCTTTTCCATATCGTTTCTAAAATTATATTGATGAATTAGAATTTTTCAAATTTGATAATCTATAGGGATGTTACTCATGAGTACTCATGTATGACAAATACCTAATATAGTAAAAATTGAGTCGAGAAAATAAACAATAAAAAAAGAAATAAATTTTATTATTTTTGTATATGGTTTAAATTAAAATTTATATAAAAGTTTTGTTTCCAGTTTATTTCTTGATAGTTTGGTTCTCGAAATCAAATTTGTATAAAAATTTTATTTCTGGTTGTCTTCTAAAAACTTTTGTGTTTGCGCTGTAAATATCTACATAATAATAATAATAATATATAATATGTAATAATAACGATCATAATAAAATACCTAAATATGATAGGTCAATATTGCTTTGTAACACTTGAGTACTCATGAGTGCAGATCTTTCTATTAATAGCATGATCTATGAGTACTCACAGTACTCACGGTACTCATGTTACTCATGAGTATCTGGATTACTCATGAGTAACCTATTATGAGTACAAACACTAATAATCTAATCGATCAAATAATTGGATATGTCGTGCAACATTTTAATGGGGCTGAGTATATAATAAATAACACATGCATGTTTATTTGTGCAATTAACCAAATTCGATTAATTAGCATTCATATGCATTCTTTTTCTTTATCTTGGCGTAAAGACTTCTTATATCTCTGCATTATCCATTCGATAGATCTAGAGTGAGACATGGAAGGAAAATGTTTAAAAAGGGCAGTATTTCGAGTTATGATTGTAATCATTGACAAATTGTGTTTTTTTATATACTTTAAATTCTAAAATTTCTCAATTAAAAAAATGGAATCTTTCTTAGTTAAATTCAAACCAATCTCAGCAATAACCATTTTCACTGCATTATATAAGCGGGTTGAAGCAGGTGAATGGACAGATGACCGCGAAGAAGAAATTGAGAATTTTGCTGGAGTGCTTGAGACTGCCTTGAAACTGGTTTCTCCGGATGAAGAAGAAAGATGGGGGAAACTTCATAGTTTCAGAAATGACAAGACTTTGGAGCAAAGAGTAAGTCATTATAATTATTGATAGTTTAAAATATATTTGATGTGATGAATTATTGGTTTTCTTTGGGGGTGACGAAATCACAAGCATGTATCATGGGGTAGACATTCATTTTCGTCACTTTCCGATTACCTCAATGGATGAAATATAAAGTGGTATATAGACTGTGAATGTACCAACGTCTTCTTAGTATAAATACTTCGCGGACGTGGCAGTAGCTGTTTATATACATTAAACACCGAGTATGAATTTTGTTGAGGCTATGTATTAATCATTGGCTAGCCTATTCTTTGAAAAAATTTATTTTGAAAAAAGAAAATCAATCTGATCGCGCGCACATATTTATCATTACTGAATCGGTTTGAATTTCAGCTGATTAATGTTCTGTATTTTAGGTGTCAGAAGCATTTGATCATATCCGATCTTCACTGGAGCTCAACGCTTTGGTATGCTTTTTACTCAATGTTTCCAAAGAAAACCTGTATTGTTGCAAATGCTTATTCTTTACTATTGTAGAACGTGAAGAAAACTTGCCTCTTCAATAGAAAAAAGAGTCAAAATGTGAAGGAATCTTGGCTAATTGAAGCATTGAAAAACTTCGAGACATTGAAGAATGAAGTACATAAGGTTCGTATTTTAGGGTAAAGCTTGTTCTTTTTTCTAACATCTTATTAATATGTGGAGTTTAGTATGTATTAGCAACATCTGGGGACGAAAAGACCATGTGGAGGACTGTAGAGGAAGGATTGCGTAAAGTAAATGTGAAAGACTTGGGACACGCTCATCCACTATGCTCAGGAATATTGGATGATAGTTCTGAACCTTTTAAGGATATGTCAGAAGAGTTGCGCAATATTTTTAGGTCTTTAAGTAGAAAGTTTATAATACCAACAGATATTAAGTTAAAAGCTATTTGTGAAGAATTTGTCCAAAGCGAAAAGAAGAAGTACTTTGAGAAAGTCCCTAAATTGGTTGAAGGAGTAACTTTTGGTAAGTTTTTAGATGTCCCGAAACATTACATAAATTGACAAACCAGATGCTAGAAGCATTTAGTTGAATCTGGGGGTCCTCAAAGTGGAAGTTATATGTCTTGTCAAAAGAGCCCAACATAAGCAAGGGTTTGTGCATATGTGAGGTTATATCACCATTGCTGAATATTGTAATGAGTGATTTACCTATAGATTACACTATATGGGGTGCTTGGTATGTATAATTTATAATTTTTTATTAAGTCTTGTATAATCACTAACATATTTAAAAAGGGGGGATGAGGCAAGTTTAGCCAGCGCAGAACGCAAGGGTTCGAATAAGCTTGCAAAAAGACCCGACTACAGAGTTGTCGTACAAATTAAAAATAAGTCTATGGAGTTTGCATATCTTGAAACCGGTCGACCAGATTCTTCCGATGATAAGCAAAAACGAGATCATAAAAAACTCAATAGACTTCAAAGGACTCTATTGATCTCACGAGAAATCCTAAATATGAAAGATTGTTCAGAAAATTGATGATGAAAGAAATGTTGACAATATTTACAATTAATATCGTTGGGAGGGTGCTAGAATTACGCTGCATGAATAAAGAATCATCAATATATAAAAATTCCCTGCTTGAACGAGCAACCATCCCCTTATCCACCCCACACACAGAACTGGAGAATGTCTATCCTATTATCCACGTACTATTGACTTTCAGAAGCGCAATAATATGTACAGTATGTAAAGTAATGGATACTTCTGATTATTCGGTCAAAACAATGTCGATTACATCAGACTTGTCACAAACTTCCACAACATCGACTATTGCATCTCCACCAAGATCACCATCTCCATTTAAATTACAGAAAAGAAGCTACAAAGAATTCGAACAAAACTAATCATCATTTTTTTTATATATGTAGGTATATCCTGTATCTTTTTTTATTTTCGTATAAATAAACTGACCTGGAGGTCAATTCGCATTTACTTTTTACATTAACGATCACTAATTTTTCTGGAAAAAAAAATAAATCGATTAATTATTTACATATCCAATAATTTTCTACCACTACTACATGCTGAGAATATGAGTCATTAGACTCTGGGATTTGCCCATAATCAAATATCACCTTCACATCTTGAGTGTTCTTATTTATAATTGTTATAAAATCTTCATCAATTCTATGCATATACTTAGACAGATTTTTAAATTGCATATTGTTTAGGATTATCGGTAAATCTACTTTGAGTTTTTCGTCTGTTATTTTTAGATTTGCGAGACATATTTGACATATCTATATTAATATGTGTAAATGACTTCGCTAAAAGTAATTGTAATTCATAATTAAAATAAGTCAATATGACCCGTTTTATTATTGATATATAAAAAATGTTACAAAAATAATAACATAAAATAAAAAATCATATCGCAGTTATATACTGCAAATTACTTCTTTTGAAAATAGCGGGCCAATGATATCTCAACACTACTTTGCTCTTTCTGTTGATTTAACTTAAAAATTCTCCAAGTTATGAGATAACTTTTTCTATTCTCAACGAGTACAGTTGAAACTTTATTTTTAGTCGCTACATTCATAAAAACTACATTTTCTAAATCGTCAATTGGAATATCATTTTTATCTACAAGAAAAACCCTCGCGACGTCTTCATTTAACACTTCAATCTTTACTCGGATGTTCTCGTGACCAGTATCAAAGTCTTTTGTTTCTCCTTCCACATATAAAATTTTGTTTTCTGACATCGTAACTGCTAAGAAAAAACAAAACTATTAATTAATACATGAAGTTGTAACTATATTTCTGACTCAAAAATTTATTCATAATGCATACCTTAAAAAAAATTCGATAAGATAAGAAATGAAGCCTCCCAAATCCACCTTATTTATATAGTTTCATTTGTTACCCGAGAACCTGTTAGAAGAAAAAAATACATGATTAGTAATTACGTTACCCCAACCATTTTCCAGATCCTTTCTTTGTAAAGCAAGTCAGGTCACGAGTGCCAAGCACTAAATATATGAGCCATAGACTATATTTCGCCTTTTATGGGGAAATTAAACCTTTCAGTCTGACAATCGCTTTTGTATATAGAATGAAAATAAGACAAATTTTGACGATCTCGGAGATGGCAGAGATCTCAACTCCCATAACATATGAATTTTGATATGAGCCAGACTCTACCTAGTATTATTACTGATAAAGAACCCCATTCATTTCCTTTTTGTGTCTCATTTGTATTTTTTTCTTATCGAAAAGCTTTATTAATATTAATACTATGATTCATAAATATGAAGAGAAAATAATTTAGTGGTGTCACAGAAATAATCTCGTGGAACAAAGACTCAAATAATTATATGAATCATTATTTTTTTAATAAACCTGGTTCTATCATTATATCGAACAAAAATGAATTGTGATATGTTTATCCCTCAAATTA